AACTAGAAAAAAACATCCTGACTGAGGTAATCCAGACTCAGAAAGACAAACATGGTATGTACTTACTCATAAATGGATAGTAGATGTAAAGCAAAGAATGACCAGGCTACAATCTACAGCTTTAGAGAAGCTAGGTAATAAGGAGGACCCTAATAGGGACACATGGATCACCCTAGGAAGAGAAATAAGATGATATCTACCGGGCAAACTGGGGCAGGGGGGTGGTAATGGGGAGGAGGGGTGAGAACAGGAGGGAATGAGATATCTGAGGTAGGGAGGAATGCAGTGGGAGAGCAATGAAAGAGAGATCTTAATAGAGAGAGCCACTGTGGGCTTTGGAGAAACCTGGTGCTAGGGTAACTCCAAAGAATCCAGCTAAGACTCCTAGCAATAGTGGAGAGGGTGCCCAAACTGGCCTACCCACGTAATCAGACGGATGAATATGAATACCCCAACTATTATCATAGAGCCTTCATCCAGTAATTGATGGAACCAGATGCAGAGATCCACAACCACGAACCAGGCCAAACCCCGGGAATCCAGGAGAAGAGAGGGAAGAGTGATGTCAAGATGTTAGAAAAATCTAGAGACAGCTGAACCAAGCTTGTGTAAACTCATGAACTCTAGCCATACAACTGTGGAGACTCTAGGGTACTCTCCATATGCGGGAGACAGTTGTGAAACTTCAACTATCTGAGATCCGCCTATCCCTGCCTACTAACTGTAGGGATTAAAGGCGTGCACTACCACCATCCAACTACAATAAAGTGAAGTCTTTAAAGACAGAGTAAAGTAATATAAAAAGAATAAGCCACATGGGGAATACCATAACACATGATATGTGGACCCTATATAGTGCTTTATTAACTTTAAATTTTAAATGCTAATGAGCAAAAACAACAACTGCAGAGATAGTTTGGATTGTGGAAAAAAAACTGCTAAATTAAATCAGCCTATATATTTTAAGGATGTTTTAACTTTAGAATGGAAGTCAGGAAATATGTTTGGTTTGGGGACGGTATAGAATCCTTCAAAGTTAATAAAGATTTGACTGGGAGAGACCTCCTGAAGATCTTGACTCAGATATGAAGAAATAAACCAAGAAAAAACATAAGACAGGTGACGTATATGCTCATCCCTCTACGTGGAAACAGCTCCGAGACTGGATAAGACATGATAAATCTTGTTGGTTACAGAGTCCTCATGACTCCTTATTACATGCCATCCTTTCATATGGCATGGGTGGAGATTTTAAAAACAGTTTGGTTACAAACTGACAAAACTGACTTACAAAATTGACAGATGCCTTTTACCTGCTCAAACATAGAACAGAGAATCATCTTTACAATGCATATTCCATACTTGTGTTAACGCAGATATGTATGTTACCTTTAAAAGTTTGTGTGTTTTCAGAAAAAAAGGACAAGATACCAAATGCAGACAAGTAGCTCAGGAGAGCCAGCCTCTCAGAGTGCCTCTGTTGTAGTTTCATCAAAAATCTGAATCCAGAACAACTTGATAGCAGCTTGCTAAGATGGTCCAGCCTCATAGACTACTCCAGCCAGAACTTCAGTTAAGTCCTGCACTATCTCCATCACACAAGAGACTGGACAACAAATGATACAGCTGGTTCTCCCTGGACTTGACCATTATCTCAATTTTCTCAATATCTCCATAAGACACCATCGGCCCAAGACATGAGGAAGTAATTTTAAGAATACAACACTCACATTCCCAAGAGGTCGAGTGGGTGGCTATGTGTTATTAGGTGGGTTATGGATGTTTGTCATTGTTTAGTGGGGTTGGTTACAAGTTGTTATTGTCAATAGTTAAGGAGGAAACTTAACAAAGGAGATTGGATTAAGAGATTTCTTTTTCTTTCTGTCCTACCTAGTGAAAAAAATGGGGGGGGGGGAGATATAGAAATGACAGGATAAAAGGATAGATTACTGGATCTACTAAAAAAGCAACTGCTAGTCTAATATTTTACATTGGTATGGATTTTTGTATATTGATACAAACTTAAGGTCATTTTTGTTCCTATTCTTGTTTAAGGGATTGTACCTATGAAGCTCTTTTAAAAATGCAATGTAAAGTTCTAGTCCTTGAAAAATTTTTATTGCAAATTGTTTAGGATAATTAAGAAATTCAAGTTAAGAGGCAGGTGGATCTCTGTGAGTTCAAGGCCAGCCTGGTCTACAGAGTGAGTTCTAGGCAACCTCTAAAGCAATACAAAGAAACCCTGTCTCAGAAAAAAAACAAAAAAAAATAAATTCATGTTAATATTTAGTCATCTATAACAATCAAATTTATAGTCATGTTAAATATGTATTCAAGGTTAAGCAGATATATTTTAGATAGATATGTGGTCTACAAACACCTCAGACACCTACAGAATATGATACTTAAAATGTTCTCATAACATAAGGCCTTTCATGACAGTGAGATACGTCTGTTCCTGCCAGCACTAACCAACTTCAGAGAAGATGATGGGCATCAAAGCTATCCATATGGAGTTTGCTTTCAATGTGGCAAAGCAAATCATTGGGAAGAAACTGCCTTTGCTTTGACAGCTGACAGTATGCTGCCCAACTGGACAAGCAGGACACAAAGGAAGACAACTGCTAAACTTTGCCAAGACAAGATAAAAGAGTCCTTCAAAATTCCTGCTTCACAGAAAAGTCTGTCAGATATTCTAGGCCTGTAGGCCGAAGACGGATGCTCCATAGTTGCAGAGGAACCTTGAGTGACTCTACAAGCAGCCAGTGTCTTTGTCATTTCTATAGTTTTGGAAGTTGCTTGTTCTTGTAGTTCCTGTTTACTCAGGTAATATTTTATCTTTCTCAGGTCTCTGATGGGATTGAAGACTAGACAGTTATAGTTTTACTATTTTTTCTTTTCCTTCTTTTTATTTACTGTCTGTGTCTCTCATGCCATGCACCTCTATCCCATTCATTTCCCCATCCCTTTGTATCCACCCTGTGCCCTTGCTTCTCCCCATAAAACAAGATGAAATTTAAGAAAAAAAGAAGAAAAGATAACAAAAAAAAGTCAATCTTGTCATGGAAGCTGTAGTGTAACACAATGAATCACACAATAAAACCTTTTATCCATATATCTTCATTTGCAAATGTTCATTGCAAAGAGTCTTTGGGCTGGTTTGGGGCCTCTGGTGTCTGGTACACTATCTATGCTGGGTCCTTATTGGAACTCTTCTTGGTTACCTTGTTGTTGAATTGTGTTGTAGAAATACTGCAGCTTTGGTTCTACCGGACCAGTCCCTTTACATGTTACACCAGATCACAGATGGGGTGGATATTAGAGTGAGCCAACACATAACCCTGGTTCTAGGCCTGGGTAGTTGCAGGGTTGGTCAGCCCACCAGCTCTCCCTTGTCCTCACCACCACAGTGAGCTCTCTTGCATTGTCCTGGTTTGGTCACCCCATACAGCAATGAGCAAGGGGCGGGGCCCGTTTGCCTGATTCTATGTCCTCAGGATCAGATCGCCCACACCTACACCTTCAGGGCCAGCTCTACTGTGTTGCCCAGGCATGATATAGGAGCCTCTCTCCTGAGTGCTGCAGTTGATGAGGGTCTGGGCCAGCTCTGAGGTATGGCCTCAGAGCTAGCTCTCCTACCTGCCTTAGGCATTGAAGGGCCAGGCAGGAGGCATCTCTCCCTGACCCATGCCACCACATGACAGACGGGTAATAGGGACAACTTTCCCATGTTTACAACTTCAGGGCTGTCTCACCCAGACCTCAGCCAATGGGGCTGCTCTACTGTGCTGCTCATGTAAGGTTCAGGGCCTGCTCTCCAAATTGTTACATCTGAGTTTTACCATTTTCTTTGTTATCAAATTCAAAAAAGAAAATCACTAAAGAGATGTAGGCTTATAAAGGTTGAGAGACATAAAAGCTTAAGTTGTTTGTCTAAAAAAATGTTTTAAGGTCTAAAAGGATATTTTAGGCTGATAATACAAGTTACGCTAGAAAGTATCTTAGGTATAAAACTTTTGAGTCACCAAGATAAGATAGATAATACAGTACTTTCTCTGAATTTGCCAAATACAGATGGACTGGACATTGTGAATGTTATTCTTACCTGATAATTCTTCTTACTGTATACAGTTTTAATATGTTAGAGTTAGATCCTTTCCTTTTTATTTAGACAAAAGGGGGAAAATGTTGTAGGATAATTTTCTACACTGTGAAGATGTGTTTCTGCCAAGGCACCTTCTGATTGGTTTAATAAATAGCTGAATGGCCAATAAGTAGGCAGAAGAGGATAGATTAGACTAACATGGGGAGAGAGAGGAACTTGGGAGAAGAGTCTGAGAGACAGAAATTCACCAACCAGACACGGAAGAAGTGGGACATACTATACCGAGAAGTAACAAGCCAAGTATCAGTGCATAAATTAATATAAACCTATAAAGTTTTAAGAGCTAGTAGGCCAAGCTTTCATAATTAATAAAAAGTCTCTGTGTCATTATTTGGCAGCTGACAGTCCATGTATACCTGCCAAAGTATTCTGCTAACAGGGAATGGAATTATCCCAAGAGAAGTAAGTGTGTTACAGTCAACAATGTTGAAAGAATTTGGAGATCTGAAGAGGGCTTTGACATTAGACATGAAGATGTTGAGTTTGGAGGTTGCCCTGCCAGTTTTTGGTCCCACTTTGGGCCAAAATTTCCCCACCATGCTTCCTTTCCCCCCTTTTGGAATGGTAATGTATATCCTGTGCCATGACATGTTGGAAGTATATGATCTGCTTTTCATTATTATTTTATGGGAGATTTCCCGCCATGAAGATAGTAGACTAAAAGTCTGAGGCTGTAAGCTAAATCCAATTAAATGTTTTCCTGTGTAAGAATTGCAGTGGTTATAGTGTCTCTTCATAGCGATAGAAATCCTAAGATAGTTAAATATATTGGTATTCTAGACTAGAAAAGATTTTTACTGTATTAATTTGATTTAAGCAAAAGCAATGTTCTCACCTGACCAAGTTCTTCATTAAGGTCTGATGTGTTAACCAAGGCTCCTTCATTAATTTCTTCATCAAAAAAGTCTTTATCCCATGAGATAAAAAATGAGCCTAAGAATTTCTGCATTTCTACTGTGACATACATGGAGACAGGAATAATAAAGTTGAAGAGAACCATGAATGATAAAAAGTCGGTGAACATTTTCAAAACCTAAAATAAGAGATGGTTCATGTTAATTTGATTCACAGCCAGCCTCTTAAGATGAATATAATATAAAGTGGCTTTCTTTCTATTTCAATGTTTAATACAAAATTAATATAAAGAAACTTCCTAATGGCACTATATCATTATAGTCAAAATTATTAGTATTAAGCATACGTTGTGTAGTGGTGGCAAATGCCTTTAATCCCAGTCATCAGAAGGCAGAGACAGGCAGATCTGAGTTCAAGGCTAGCCTGGTATATAGAGAAAGTTCCAGACAGTCATGACTATTATACAGAGAAACCATCTTTCAAATAAACAAAGAATATTTAATACTTTTTTACCTGATTAAGTCCTAAGTTCCTCCCACATGTAGATAGGAATATTCAAAGTTTATATATAGATACTGTGTAAGATTATATTGAATTAAAATGCCTGAAAGCTCATTATTTTTCCAGTCTTTGAATGAGTTAAAAACAAGCATAGACACATATAAAGTAAGGAATAAAATGAAATCTATATCAAAAGATCACTTTTTCTGAGAAGTGGTTCAGTAAAAAAATGGCTAGTTACGAAAGAGTTAACACTTCTTGTAGCAATTTAATTACCTTAAAAGTCTCCCGTTCCTTTTGAGTCTTTTGGTTATACCAAGGTTCATCATTGTATGGGGTACTTTGCCAAACATACTTTAGAGTTGTACATACTGCAGCTTTGGTCAGTAAGATAAATAAATAAACAATCAAGAAGGCATTAATAGATCTGAAAAATAAGATATTATGTCTAATTACTAAAGGCATAAACAAAATATAAATTGTTTAAATTTTACTTTAGTCTTAACTAATCTAAAGATTCTCCTGTGCATGTTATAGTAATCATATCCCAAACTGTATGTAAGAACCTTTACTAAATGGCAAAATGAAAAATCTAGCCTTGAATTGTTTATTGATCACTAATGTTCCCCAAAGTACAATGTCTACCTTGTCAAACACACCTTTTTAAAATAAGTGGAAACAGACTTATCTACATGCATTAGTACCTACTTAACCTCTATGGAAAGTGTAGTTTGTATCTTCTCCCCTGAAGACTAACATTTCAAATTGAAGGTAGAATAGCAAATATGAACCTGAGCATATATTCTCTTAGCATTATTTTAAAGAAGAGTTCTGGATAAGGCATAATCAGTTATATCCATGCCTATAAAGAAAGAAGAGTGTCTGGCATGATGCTACCTATGATCCCAGTAGTTGGGAGGCAGAGGCAGGAGGATTACAAAATCAACATCATTCTCAGTTCATGTCACTAGTTTAAAACCAGCTTGGGCTGCATGAGATCCTGTCACACACACATAAATAACTACATAAAAATTTAATTAGAATAGAGAAACCTCTACCAGGTACCACTCCATGGTCTACAAGAAAAATATTGTAAAACCACTTGCACATACCAACTAAAGGACCCCAAATTCGGTAGCAAAACGAAATGAATTTACATTTTAGGTAAATGATGCCATTTAAACCCATGCAAAGTTAATTAATTCATTTATTATCTTGGAAACCTTTTCATCTGTACAACTGAAAAAGTCTAACATAAATTACATCGTAGTATTCTTTAGAGGATTGAATCAAATCAAACAGAAATCAGTGAGGACCGTTTCAGGAACAAAAACAAGTGCTTAAAATGATAGCTGTTATTATTGTGGATAATGAATTTCTGTATTGCTATTTGCAGTTACTGAAGAAGTAACTATTTCAATCAATAATGACTTAAAATTGTGGCACATACTAACTTTTCAACAGCAGAGCGTTTCTGAGATTTTCCTTGGTAGTTCAAAGCCATTTTGGTTTCCATCCCAGTGTAAACAGCAACTCCTAAAGAATAACAAAATAGAATAATAACCTAGTTATAGGTAAATTTGTTACCCAACCTCCTATCTTTTTGGTTCCATGGATTCTTCACAGTCTATATGGTAAGAATTCTAAGTCTTTCTACTCATTAGCTGATATATCACTTATATTAAAATTTAAGCTGTAAAAAGTATCACTCGTGTTAGTTTACTGTCTGGTAAATTATCAACACATGAATATACATTGATAATACAGGGGAGGTATTTGCCATATTCACTTTTAAATATGTACTATTTACTCATAGGCTTTATGAAACATATTTTAACAGTATATTTTTAAAGTTGTTCACCATATATCTTCTCGGTATTTTTAAGTGTAGCTCCTTTCAGCAAAAGATTTTCAGGTCCCAAAGACCTAAATGAAAAACAAGCACAGTTTATCAAAACAATGTACAATGTCATCAATACTGGGGACAGATTTTGCTCTGACACACATCTATCTCTAAGGGGTTCAGAATGTGCCTATTTCTACCATATGCTTACTCCCTAGGATAAGCAGAATGATCCCTCCATCTGAAGTGACTTGAGGGTACAGCCAGATGGAAGCATAGTAAGGGGCAGCCAGCAACATGCAGAGGTAAAGAAATACACAGAAGGACCAAATATTATGACTGATACGCAGCAAGACAAGAGCTACAAGAATTGAGAAATAGAGGGTCACAGATAAAAGACTGGGAAGGCAAATGCCAAGCTGCAAAAACACAATGACATCTTTGTATAGAATAAACTTGACTTTTGGAAAATCAAGGCAAAGTGGAAAGAAAAGCTGAGACAATTAACTGCATGATAAAAGAGGAAGGAAAGCATCTTCTTTGTATGAATTGCCTCATAAATGATTAATCTTAAATTTTATTTAGGTCCAAGTGATTCTTCTAGCATTTTCCTTACTGCCTAGATCCTTAATTACTGTCCCATAAACTACTATTTTCCAATTGTATTTTTAGCCTTGTCACTCACTATACAACCAAGGAAAATATATGTAATGTAATGTCTAGAACAGGTTTGGAAAAGCAGTCAACAGGTACAGAGCTCTGCTCTTCTAATTTTTTAACTAAGCTTTTCTGTATATATATTGTGTTTATGTGGGTGCATATGCCACAGAGTATGTATATGAAATGATCAGAGGATAACTTTATATAGTCAGATCTTTTTCCTTTAAAGTGGTTCTGGGGATTGAACTCGGATAACTAGGCTTTTATGGCAAGTGTCTTTATTGGTTGAACATTTGGCTGGTCCCATGGTATGGTTTAACAAAAGAGATCTCAGAACCAGAGATCCCACACCTTTAATCCCAGGATTTGAAAGGTATAAAAGAAAGAAGCAAAGTGTTTCAAGAGAGAATTTGTCTCCAGCCACATTTAGGAGAACATAGATAGCAGTCTGAGGCTTGGTGGGCACAGGATTGCCATTTCGGCTTGGTAGAGGAAAGAACTAGTTACTGGCTGCTTTGCTTCTCTGATCTTCACCTTAAACCCCTTGTCGGGCTCTGGATTTTTATTTTCACGTTACACTATGGAGCTTCTGGTCTTTTGGAAACTCTATACATTATTTCAATAATAATCTCCTACCAAATAGAAAGAGAACCTACCACCACAACCAGACTAATCACAAGGTTACTTATCATCTTTTTACTTCATTTAAGGAAAGGCACTTGAGTATTTTAGTGGGTTTAAAAGAGAAATATCCCTCCTTCACAAAGGATAGATAAAAAAAATAACAAACTAACCTGGCAACAGCCTCAACACTATTACTATAGATACTGATTCGCCCAACAAACCTGTTTAAAAACAAAAACAAAACACAATGGTAAGTGTAAAATCCAAATACCAGTAATTGGAAATGCTTCAGATTACAAATAATGAAAAAAAGAATGGTTTTAAAATTCTATGAAGCTTCTGAAAAAAGTTACATTAAATTTATATTATATAACATTTAAACATAACCTTTAAATAACATTACAAATTATAAGAGTATAAAAACATATTAAAATTATCTGAAGTTCCACTTGGTATATACAAAGTACCTTATATGATATCTTTTTATAAATAACATGACTTTTAATTTAGATACATGCGAAGAATGGTTTCTGATACTATGTACAATTTTCAAAATAATTAGTTCAGTGGTTTTTACACGAGCTTGTTTATGAATTACAGGTGTGGAAAGAAGCTTTTTAAAGCAGACTTCTGGGTTCTATCCTTAAGCTTCTGTGTCAGAATCTCAATTGATATTGGTATGACTAACAGACAAAGAACACTTGACTATATCACATTAAAAATGTTTGTGTCTGGCAACTGATATGATTCAAGCACTTAATATGGCCAGACACAAGGTAACATACATTTTTGCAAAGTAGGATAAAAAAGGCCTAACACCTCCCCTTAACAAGACTTCTATACGTACTTTGTAATTTGCATTTCCTTATAGAAAATAGTTTTACTGTAATATATTATACAGTTCAAAGACTTTTAAAACATTTACATTTTCAATATAATTTAATTCTTGAGAATTTCATACAATATATTATTTTGATAATATTCACCCTTGCAATTTCTCCCTATCTACATCCCTACCACTCAAAATTCATGCTTTCTTTAAAAAACATTAATTTTTAATTGTATGAACTTCTAAGTGTACCTCTGTGTTTGTGCATGTAAATGAATGCAAACAAAGTAGCCAGAGGCATCAGACCCCCTGGAGCTATAAGTGGTTATGAGAAGTCTAATGTGTGTTTGGTATACATGCTCTTAATCACTGAGTTATCTCTATAATGTCTCAACTTAAACATTTTTATACACAAAATAGGAAGCACTATCCATTCACTCTATGTTAATTTTGAAAGTACTGAACTAGATGCATGCTGAAGATACAATAAACTAAAAAGGCATATTCTTTCCCCCTAGGAAAGGTAAGTGAATTTGATAAACATAGTACAAGTGATCAGAGTACTAGAAATACTTGGTATTCTGAAGTCGCATTGTAGGGATTCAGCTTAGGTAAATTAGGATAACCTTGCCTACCTAAAGGGAACTGCAAAATCTGGAGTTTTCCCTTATAAATATATGTATTTGTATAGATGTGTGTGTAACATATACATATATTCTCATGGAGAATAAGCCACTCTCTCTTCTGTGATTTCATGGACTTGGCATACATCTTTACTATTGTACTGTAAGCTTAGCTTTATTGACTGATATTCTTTGTTCATTGAGTTCCTTGAAGGTGGAGAAAGATTTTTTTTTTGCTTGTGGCTCTAGATCTTAGTGTCAACATGAACATAAATAAGAGAAAGAGGAAACAAGGAATGAAGTGTGTGTGTGTGGGGTGTCAACATTCTCATAGTAGGATGTTATTTCTCTACTGTTCCATATTTTAGTAAACCAAATCTAGCCATTTGGTCCTCCATTATGACCAACAACATGAATTAACATGATGGTTTGCCTGTATAGTGAATGTTCCCTGCAACAGCAGTATAGAATGAAATTAATTAAAAACTATTACTACAGCCTCAGCAGTACCATACCCTAATTAAATGAACCATTCTTAGAAGCTAATGACAAGTTCTTGACAATCCACAATGCATGTTAATCAGAAAACATACATCCATGAGCCAGAAGAAAACACACCATTTTAATTGTCCTTGAACTTAATGGCTTATTGTGAACAACAAATGGCCTATTCACAATCTTTAGTTCATCATAATCATTAATAAGAAAGGATACTGTGCCTACTAATTGCATTGTCCCATATCCTCTTGCTTGTTTCATGTTGGATAAGATGCAAAAGGTTTATTTTTATTTGAATTAACTCTGGGAACTCCATTAGTCAAATAGATGAGGCTTGGGGTAACAATCTAAAAAAACTGATAGCCATATTTACAAGTAACATAAAGAAAAGAAAACATAGGATGCCTGGGCCCATAGTGAATTATCTTAGGCTGGTAGTGAGCAATGTTGATTTGATTAATTTCCTTTCCAGGAGGAAGAACAGCTCATAAAAATATGTAAGAATAGAATGGTAAGTAGTGGGTGTTTGTTTGCTATACTGGTGGCAAAAAAGCAGAGCCAACAGACAGCAACAAAGCAAAACAAGGTGCTTACTTGTAGAGGTCAGGTTGAGGCTGTTCACATTCAATGGTTGCTCGAAGGTTATCAATGGATTCGGCTGTACACAGTGCAATGGTATCTCGTACTGCATAATGGGTCTATATGAAAGCACAAAATAATCAAATATAAAGTATTTCTTTTTTGTAACTGTATATCTAACTGATTTCAGAAACAGCACATTTTAGAGCAAGAGGGTTAAGCAGAGTATTACAAATGCTGATGGATATTCTACACCAAATGAATCGCAGGATACCATTCTGAAAATACATTACAAATAACTAGGTAACCTTGCTCCAAAAGGATTTCAAAGGTAAAAGAAAACAAAAATTCTTCTTTGTACTGACATTGGAGTGCATATTACATTTGTAGTTTCCATATAATTACGTGAAATCCCCATGAAGATTTTAACATATTTTTCTCATATATAAAACCAAGATTTGAGAAGAAACATTAATGGTTCCATTACATAAACAGTTTAATGATTTTGAAACTGTTCAATATGGGCATATTTTATATAGAAACAGAAGGATAATGTCTTATATTCAACAATTAAGATAGTCTATATATATATGCAACATGCTCTTAATTTATTTAAAATTAAGACAAGCTCCAATGAGCCCATTTATTTACTGTGAACAAAGGTTAATGAAGATTCAAGTATTACACTACTTATGCATAAGGGAAAGCTGGTGAAACAGTCTTCAGGGATATTAGAGAACATCTTGGTTTACATTTAAAAATATTATCTGACTTCTGACTTCTTGCCACTTAATGAATAAAAGAACATTGAACTTTTTCTTCCTCCAAACAGTATTTTCAATGTTAGATAATCTTTAGGTAGATTTCTCTATCTTGATAATACCTAAAATATAACTCAGTTTTTAAACCTCTAAGATACCAGTAATTTGGTGTCATGTGCTTGAAACACAAAATCAGTAAACAGTAACAAGTAAAGCATTTATTTCACATTCTGAGTCCTATTCCACAGGGAAAGTAGGAAACCTCATCAAAGATATGCCTGGATGTGAGCTCATTAGTATTTCTATTTTTTCTTTTAAACAGGATCTCTCCATGCAGCACTGGCTGGTCCAGAACCCCCTATGTAAATCATGCTGGCCTCAAACTCAGAGATTCATCTGTCTCTGTCTCTGTCTCTGGTATTAAAGGCATGTGCACTCCACTGAACCAGAATTACTCCTTAAATGCAGCACAGAAAGGATAAGACTTTATGTTCCATGGAGCACTGGATCATAACATCCCAAAACTGGCTTTGTCAGAAAGTACCAGCAAAGTGAAATTATCATCTATTTTGATTAAGTTGACTATTATAACATACTTAAAATTCCTCTGAGTTACAATAAATAACACATTTATTAAACTATAACCTAAGGCATTAAAGCATGTAATCAAATTACTCCACAGTAGACTAGCTATATCACAGGAAAAACTATGTGTATTTATTTATTTTCATTTGTATTGGTGTTTTGACTATATGTACATCTGTGTACCACTTCTGTGCCTAGTGTCTGAGCAGATCAGGGCATGCCGAAGCAGGTCAGGGAGTCAGATTCCCTGAAAATGGAATTGCAGCTGCTTTGAGCTATTATACAGGTTCTAGGAATTGAACCCATTTCCTCTAGAAGAGCAGTCAGTGCTCTTAACTATACTTTCCTCCAGACTCAGAATAAATCTTTTAAACAAAAATAAACAGTCTAAAAATAAAACTAGATGAATTATAAAGTTAAATACTTAAAGTTGATTCTATAGTTGTGTAGTTTAGCTCACAAGTATTGTCATTTATAAAAGCCTAGGGTGAAAAATAGCTCACTGGTAGCTCTACTGTGAACACATGGGCCAAGAGTTCATTCCTAAGGACAACAAAACAAAAGGCCTAAATAACATGTTAACTGAATTTTATCAATATTAGGTTTTAGTGGTGCTATAAAAACTGTGATGGCTTTTGGTTAGGGCATGGGTCTCCCCCACCCCCCACAATGTAAACTTATTCTCCAACGTGGGTGTTTACTTAGAAGCTCGAATATAATTACATAACCACTGTCTATAAATATAAATATACTTACAAGAACAGTAAAAATGAGATAAGGGATTAAAGAGTATTAGGAGACAGTACTTCTGGACCAACCAGTAACTTCTGAGCAACTCTGATGTTTGTCTTCCCTTCCTTGTGTAACAGCTTTCTCTTATGGACAATAGTGATAATTATAATTGGAAAGACCTCCAAGGTTGTGAATATTATTGAGATAACATCTTAAAATTGTATGAAAATGGTTCTACACAAATAAAGGTAAGGTGTTATTATCACCAGTCTAGTAATAAACATGATTTTAAATGATAGCTTTCAGAGATGTATAATCTTTTTTTATCATTTTTTATTTTAATTTTAAATGGCTTGTTTTACATGTCAATCCCAGTTCCCTCTCCCTCCCCTCCTCCCGCACTTCCCCTCCCCCCCCTCCCTCCCACCCTATTGCCAAATCCTTCCACATAGGGGATATTTAGAGTCTGTCATTTTACTCTGGGTAGGGTCCAGACACTCCCCTAAGAGTCCAGGCTGAGAGAGCATCTCTCTTTGTGCTATAGGCACACGAAGACAGTTTGTATACCAGGGATAGACACTGATCCACAGCTCAGGGCCCCATAGGTTGCCCAGGCCTTCTCGCTGACACTCACATTTGGGGGGTCCAGATCAGTCCCATGCTGGCTACAGCAGAACTGTCTTATTAACCATTCTGAGAATAAAATGCTCAGGTCAGATTGAGTCTCATTACCTTGCAATTAGATTCACCATCAAGACTGGCTGTAGTGACATAACAGGTTCCATCAGTTGTGCAGGATGACAGAAGAATAAGATCACAGGGAAAGGTTTCATTTGCCTGTACTTCTACTACATCACCAACCTAAAATAACAGTAAATATTTTAAATTCTAAACAAATTATTCTGTATAGCACACATTAAAGCTAAAACTTTATTAAGAGACATCTACAGATTTGAGATTCTGGGAGTATCTTAGCATTCTACACGACATGCAAAGAAATGAAAGACTATTACTGAACATTCAGAATCCGCTTTAAGGTCATAAGGACTTAGGATGCTTTCAGAATATCTTAGTACTATTGTGTAATAAGTAATTCTGACATTCATGTGTTCTATGTTCTCTGATATTACTGAAACTGATATATAATAAGAATTGATTTCTACTGTCATTTCACGAATGAAGCAAGAAAATCTATAGGTTTCAGATCAGTTACTACATGACCAGAGCCCTCCACATTTTCACTTTGAACCACATATATTTCAGCATATTTTGTCTGCAGTTATGATTATTGGGTTCCTTCTTTAGTGTTCAGAATACCTCAGCTAATTGAGAAAAGTATCAAGTTTCCTCATAATTGACACGGAGAGGGAGTTCTTAGCTTTCCAAGAATTCATCCACCGAAGAACCAGTTAATATAGCAACAACAATCTCTTATTAGAAAGTATCCTGAACCCAAATAGAAGAGAAACTTAAGAGATGAAATCTTGAACAACTCAATGATGCAGAAACAACAATCTCTTATCAGCAAGCATCCTTGACCCAAGTAGAAGAAAAACTTAAGAGATGAAATCTTGAACCATTCAATGATGCAGAGAGCAAAGCATAAAAGTGAAGACTTTAAAACCTGAGTTCATGTCCCAGCCTTGTTACTAAATAATATAACCTTAGGTAAATGTCTTAGATGATTCCAATGATTGCAGAAGACTAATAATGGAAATTTGAAACAAGCAAAACATTAAGTAATGTGCACATATTAACTATTTGATGAATATCAATAATACTTATTAATGCAATATTAACTACTTTATTCACAAATTGAGAATACCAGAGTATATTTCTTGAGAAGGATATAAGAAAGCCTTCAGAAAACACTTCCAAACAATTTCCATGACACACTACAGAGAAAATTACCCTGTCAAAAAACCCTAAAAACAAAACTTAAAAAACCCTCAAAACCCACAAGACTATTACCACTAATCATAAATACACTACAAGCAATCTACAAAACAGTATTTTTAAGTTCATCAGAGGGCTGAATATACAGGAGAGGTAAAGAGAGGCACCTGATGATCTTAGGATGAAAGTCACATTCACAGAAGTCAAAGCCTGTTACACTGACCTGGATACACTGACGGTGAATGCTCAAGTAATACATGAAATTTTTCTACTTTTCTAGTATGATTTGGGATATTAAGGTGAAGATTTTAGGCCTACTCAAATGGAAAAATTATTTTCTTTGATAATATAAATAAATATCCAAAAGCACCGGAATTAGAAATTACAATTAAATTAATTTAAAATATTACTTTACTTTTCAAATGTTTCCTTCCACGGTAACATAAATGTTTGTTAAGATATAACAATAGCTATATTTAAATACACAGAAGAAATACCACAATGGGACAGGCCAGGCAGGCTAAGGAATTTAGGTTTTACCCTGAAGCCAAAGGAGAAGGAAACTGTAAGGAAAGAGAATGACTCAATCAACTCATAGTTTGTTTCTATTTACCATTTAAAAACATTTAAATAAATGTGTATCTGTGTTTTGCTTACATGTATGTAAGTGCACTGCATGCATGTCTGGTGACTGCAGAGACCAGAAGAGTGTGTCAGAACCTCTGAAGTAGAGTTAAGGATAGTTGTGAAGAGCTATGTGGGAGCTAGGAAGTGATCCCAGGTTCTCTGCAAGAGTAGCAATTGTTCTTAACTTCTGATCCGTCTCTCCAGTCCCTCTATTTTTAAAGGGAGCTGGTAAGATGGCTCAGCAGGCAAGGACACTTATTACCAAATGTGATGACCCTAGTTCAAACCCTAGAATCTACATGGTGGGAGAGAACTGATCGCCTTTTAACACCACAATATACATGCATGTATACCACATACACATAAATAAGTAACATAAATTAAAGTAAATAATAATAAAAAGATTTCCTGTCCTGTCTCCCTTCCATGTGTCTTATTATCCTTTGCTTTGCATATTCACTCCTCCAATAATACATATAGTCTCTCTCATACAACAGATACTATTTGTTTTGCCTGCACTGGTAGGTATGTAATGTTGTGAGATATTTTGTTAGTGTCTTACAAATAAAGGTTTTGGAGTCAGAGGGCAGAGTGAGCCACTAGCTGACCAAAATTAACCACAGATGTTTTAGTGTGTGGAAGACAGATAGGAGAGGAAGTAGTAAGGCAGAATGGGAAGGGACCGGGCTCTCTGTTTGGAAGAAGTAATGGAGCAGGTCGGGAAGACTAGTGGCTTTTCTGGTTCGCTGATCTTTCAGGTTCTAACCCCAGTCTGACTCCTGAGTAACCCTTCAATGTAAAGCATGTGTGCAGTGCCCACAAGCCAGAATGCGGTATTAGATCCCCTGAGATTGGAGTTACAGATGGTTGTGAGCCACCATGTGAATGCTGGGGATCAAACCAGGGTCCTCTGGAAGACCAATCAGTACTCTTAACAATCTCCAGCCCCAGGAAAAATGTGTAACACGAATAATAAAAACCCAGAGACAAGCTGAAGAACAGGAAAGCAAAGTAGCCAGCCATAGAGAATTCATGTCTCTACTAAGGCTGGGACGATCCTGACCTCAACGAGGCTGGAGACTAACTGCCTGCCTGTCCCCAGTATGACTGGAGAATGAATGCCACTTCTGAGACCCTGCTGTTTCCTTATATACCTCACTACTGTTGAGCTCTGTTTCTCTTTTAGACTGACTCACTCCCATGTAGCCCTAGGTGGCCCTGAACTCACAGAGATCCATCTGCCTCTGTCTCTTGAGCCTGGCCTCTATGACTGACTAGTGTGGCTGGTAATGCATTTAGATCTTCAGTGGCTTTTTTAGATCATAAACAAAACTGACTATCATAAAAGAGATTAATAAGAAAACAAACCAACAAACAAATGAACAAAGTAGAGCAGTAGAAATAGCATATTCACTAGGGCTTTAAGTATGATGAGCAAATTCTCTACAACTAAACTATAAGCACTATAAGTGCAGGCATTAAGAGATCAATAAGTTGCCCAAACTGTTCTTGAACTTGCTCTGTGTAGGGTAGGGAGGAGTTAAACATGTGAGGTCTCTACCTTAGCCTCCCAAGTAGCTGGATTACAAGTCTCTAACACTAGGACCAACAATAATTTTAAAGTAATTTTTTCTATCTTAATTAATTTATTGCATGTATATGATGTGTGTGGGCACATGTACCACAGTTAATACTTGGAGGTCAGATGAAACTTTTGGGAGTCAAATCTCTTCTAACATGTGGATCCTTGGAACTGAACTCAGGTCATCAAACATGGTAGCAGATGCCTTTACTCACTTAGCCATCTCACTGACCTTTCAATAAAATTTTTAATTAATTAAATATATTCATTTATTTTATATTGAGAACACAGTTATCCTCCATCCTCTGTGGAATATTCTTTTACACTGTGTGAATATATGACACAGTGATTGATTAAAAAAAAGCTAAAAGGTTTCTCAAGGCAGAGTCTGGGGAGTGATGAGGAAATGCAGAGAAAGCAGGAGATGAACTTGTCATACTAAAAAAAGGTATTGAGCTACATGGCAGAGCATAGATAAGATATATGGGTTAATTTAAGTTATAAGAGCTAGTTAATAACAAACTGAGCTTTACGCCGAGCATTTATAATTAATAATAAGTCTCTGTATGGTTATTTGGGATATGGGTGGTGGGACAGAAAAGTTCACCTATATTCCTCTGCTCCCATTCCCTTCTCCCACGGGAGTCAACAAAGAATGGCATAAGTATCAAGCTGAGGTAGGACTAAGCTCCTCCCTCTACATAAAGGCTGGGCGAGGCAACCCAGCATGGGAACAGGTTCCCAAAAGCCAGCCAAAGTGTCAGGAACAGATTCCACTCCCACTGCCAGGAGTCCTACAAGTAGACCAAGCTATACAACTGTCACAGATATGTAGAGGGCTTAGGTCGGTCCCATGTGGGCTTCTTAGCTGTCAGTCCAGTGTCTGAGCTCTTATGAGTCCAGGGTTAGTTGTCTCTGTGGGTTCTCTTGTAATGACATTGACCCCCTAACCCCCTGGCTTAAGGATTCCCAGAGCTCAGTTCAGTGCTTGGCTGTGGATCTCTGCAACTGCCTCCATTAGTTACAGAACGAAGCTCTCTGATGACAATTAGTGTAATGGGGGCATTTTGGGGTCAGGTAGAAATCTGGTGCAAGGGAAACTTCTACAAATCTACTAGGATGACCCCAACTAAGACTCCCAACAATAGTGAATATGTAGCCTCAACTGGTCATCTCCTTTAAGCAATTCGTAAATGCTAGGTATAAGCTACTATGACAGTTTAGAATCCCCACAAGCTTGAGAGTTATGAGTGGACCATTTCTCAGATCTTTTCCACAGGCTCCCACTGTGCTCATGAGAAAGCATGAGGACCTAATTGGACCATCTTTTCTGATCAGCCACAGGAGTGATTAACTGCTATGGGGAGACAGGCAGGCACAGGCATGCCAGTATCATGGACCTTTCTCTTACAGGAAGCAAAAAGCTTGCCTTACATCTAGGGCAAATGTAGGGAAGAGGCAGAAGAAAGAAAATGCAAGCAAACTGCTTCATGAGATAAGATAGGAAGCCAATTTATACCAAGGACTTGGCTACCATGAGAGATGGGACTGTAAGACTAGAAAACTACGATGCTATATAAAACTCAGGTGCATAGTACTTGGCCAATATTGAGATTGGTACAGGAAAACCAAGAAATTATTCTGTTCCTATCTGGAGTTTCATACTGAGTAACAAATAAGAAACAGCAGGATACTGTTTTGAGAGAGAAGCAAAGCAACGGAAAGAGACATCTACTGCTAGTTAGGCCATCTGAATAAGTTAAAGGAAGATGGTGGAAAAGTAACATTATGAAAAACACTCCAGCACCCCAGGTCCAACACAAAACTCAGGATAGCTGGAATCAATCTTTCAAAAGAATGTAAAGCCCAGTAGTGTATTAAAATAGCAATAATTATAATAAAAGAAACAATGGCAACCTAACTCTTGACTAGACTGACCCAAATACCAAACACTAAAGGTCTGATGGTAGCAGAGCAGGCCCATTTCAGAAACCATATACTACTAATCTCGATATGAAGATATTAATCTAATGAAGTGAAAACTTATATCCACATAAAAACCTATATTTGAATGTTTGTGGCAGCTTTGTTCACAACTGACAAAATTTGGAAGGAGTAAAATGTATTCCTTCTCTAGAAGGTAGATAATCAAGAAAACTGGTATATTCAGAAAAATTAGTATTTCACATCACTACAAACAAATAAGCTATCAAGCCATGAAAAGACATGGAGGAAACTTAAATGTATACTAAGCTAAAGAAGTCAGTATTTTAAAAAATGGCTATATATGGAATGGTTTCAGTATGGTTTTTACAATATAATAGTCTGGAAAATGCAAAAGCATATAGTAATAAAAGGACCAGTGACTTCATAGATTAAGGGCAAATGAAGAATACTGAGATTAAACACAGATTTTTAGAGACAGTGACTTTATAGTATATGATTTTACAAGGTTAAACATATGTCATGTATTTGTCAAACCTCATAGAATGCACAGCACCAAGAATGAACATTACTGTAAACTAAATTTTATGTGCCAGGAGGTTTACTGATGTTCACAATAGAAAAGGGTGCTTGTGTGGCAGAGCATTGGCTACATGGCTACACTTTGTTACATTTTGCTTTGAACATAAACCAGTTCTAAACAGCACTGTTTATTATTTTAAAAAAATCTACTGACAACCAAAAGCGTTTGATGTGGTAAAATCTAAACGTCATCTGGCAGGGATCTTACTTGGTAGAGAAAGCAAACAGTGATTAATTCAAATAAAATATGAATATCACCTTGCTCTGAAAATATAATCAGTATACTCTTTGTGCACAAACAATTCTGTAGTTCACTAAAATTAACATAAGACTAGTAATTCTCAAACCCAGGCATATACTCAAAGGAATTGAAAATTGATATTCAAACAAAAACTTGTTCTTGAAAATTCAGAACAGCAATATCTATAGCTGCCCCCAACAGAAACATTAGCTAGTGAATAAAGAAAATGTGGTATACACATAGAATATATTATCATCCAACCATCAAAAGAAATGAATTATTGATACATGCTAAAACATAAATGGAATTTTTAAATATTCTGAAAGATGGAAAACACAAAGTTCATGTAGTGGATGATTTCATTCGTGTGAAATATTTAAACTTTAAATTCATTGAGAAAGGTTAGTGTTGACAGGACTTGGGTAGAAGAAATAATGTATAATGATTATGGAGTTTCCTTTTCTGGTGATGTAAACAGTGATGGTGGTTAATATAACATTGTGAAAATAAATAAATGATACTGATTCATATACTTTCTTTTGTATTTTTGAGACTGGGTTTCCCCTGGCTGTCCTACAACTTAGTATGTAGATCAGGCTCGTCTTGAACTCACAGAGATCTGCCTGCCTCTGCCTCCTGAGTGCTGGGATTAAAGGGCTACACAACTACTACCCTGATTTGTATACTTTCAAATGTACAATTTTATCACGCAAGACTGCAGTTATCCTGAGTGAGGGTCAGCAAGATGGTTCAGAGAGTAAAAGTGCTTGGTCTGATCCCAGGACTGGGGAGGCAGAAGCAGGCGGATCTCTGTGAGTTTGAGGCCAGCCTGGTCTACAGAGTGAGTTCCAGGACAGCCTCCAAAGTCACAGAGAATTCCTGTCTTGAAAAACAACAAAAACAAGCAAACAAACAAAGTGCTTGGTGTGTAAGCATAATGACTAGATTCTGAACCATAGAACTCATGTCAGAAGGAGGGAACTGACTCCAGAAATTTGTCCTCTGAACTCCACACATGTTCCATGGCATAAGAATGTGTGTGCACATGCACACACCATTAAGAGTTGCTTTAAAAGGGGTGATTTAGTAAAATAGTACCTTGATTTTTTCACTTTCTTTTCTTACACGTTTTGCATTTTCAATAATGTAAACAGTGCTTTTGTTGACTTCATTATCAGCTCTGTGTCTAAGCCAATCTTCATATCCCTATAAAGATAAGAAAAATTTTATTTATAACTTTATAATGTTAATTTCAACACAGAATGCCACAGATACGATAAATAAATATATTGCTGTATGCTTTTAATTCCAGCACTTGGGAGGCAGAGACAGGTGGATCTCTGAGTTTGAAGCCATCCTGGTCTACAGAGCAAATGCCAGGATAGGCTCCAAAGCTACACAGAGAAACCTGGTCTCGAAAAACAAAACAAAACCAACCAACCAATGAGAAAATTTGAGGCTCATTTTAAACATACTCCTTAGGCAAATAGCTTTATTGTGTTCCTTAATTCTTCAGATATATAAAGAGAAAACAGGTAGTAGAGCCTTAACATTCTTCATTGTGAAACACTATGATTTATTCCTATAGTACTCTAATGAATGCCTATGTTGTCTTTAATATATGTCTGAGGATTAAGGAACCTTATAACTACTTCTACTTTGTTGGGAAGATTGATTTGTTTATTTTATGTGTATTGGTATTTCGTCTTCATGTACACCTGTGAACCTTGTGTGTGCAGTGACCGGGTAGGCAAGAACAGGGTGTCAGATGCCCTGGAACTAGAGTTACAGATGGTTGTGTGCTGGGAATAGAAACTGGGTCCTCTGGAAAAGAAGCCAGTGCTCTTAAATAGTGAGTTATTTCTCCTGTAGATGTTTCTACTTTTAATTTGAAAAAATGATTGTTCTTATATTTTATCACTTAGAAATGCAATTCTTCTCATGCAGAAAGTAGGAAAATTTGAAATAGTTTTGCCAGAGAATTTACATATTACAGAGATAAGAATTAAAATTCTCCACTGACGTAATGATTAAACAAAATAGAAATTGGTGTTTGTTTTTAGAATTAAAAAGTAATCAGAGAGATTTAATGGTTCATTTTCCTTTGGGCTTTTTGTGTGCAATAGATTTAAGTTAACAGAGCAAAGGAAGCAGGACGTTCATTTGAACATGACCTCCTCTTTTTATAGCCAATGCTTTTTTGCCTCATTGGAATATCTGTGTCTTTTCACATAGATTTGTTTGAAAAAAAAATCTTGATCACTTTTTCTCTCCTCTCCCCCCTTTTTCTCCTCATTCCTATTCTGTCCCTCTTTATGAAAACACTAGGCTATCATTTCATAGGGTACATTCTCTGATGCTGATGAAGAAAGGAAGGACAAAACATGAACTAATACTGGGTATAGAATGAATCAGTAAAATCCTTAGAAAACCATGCATGTTATTCTTAGAACTAAAAATTTATGATATTCAGAAAAATATCTAGATAGCCAAAGGGAAAGAACATTCCAAGTCTTTATTTAGCAATGAAATACATGATAAAACTATTTGTATAATCCCTGATAGGCAAGAGAGAAGGTAACCTTGTTCCTTCAATCTGCAAGTTTCCTTAAGGTACTTTCAGAAAGCATGTTGATAGGTATTATCTAAAAATGTGTTTGCAAATAAGCAGATCCTGTGGCCTTTTCCTATACAGTTAACCCACACCCCACTTAAAGTTTTGTGTTGATAGTTTCAACTTCATTTGAACAATTTAAAAATGTTCAAAATACTTTAAAGACAATCACATCATAATCTGTGGCAGCGTATCAGCTCTAACAAGAAAGTCTCCCCTACCCATCACTCTCCTCAACAGTATTACTGATGATAATGAAATTCAAGTATTTGTGTTCTTAAGTTCTGTGCTATAGGCAACAGCAACAACAATTCATTGGAATTGGAAATTTTAATACATATCACATTAAAATAATTAATGAACATTAAAACCCACTTGCCATTTCCAAACTGAGTTGAATTTTCTACTTGTTCTTTCTATTACATTTATACCACATACACATAGATATTGCAAAGGAAAAGAGTTAATAATTTAGAAAATTTACAAGAAAATTAAACCCAGTTGCATTAAAGGACAGGTATAGTTTAAGTAATAGATTTACCTGTTTGATTGCTGTAACAGTTATAACAAAGAAAAGTGGAAGTCCACTAGTAACTGGGCTGGTTGGTGTGTCCACTGTGACCTAGGTAAAGAAATTAAATTGAAAATAAAATTAGCTATTAACTCATATTTAGCATTTACATGTTGCAAACATTTCAAACAAAATACGTTTCATTAATGAGATGAATACTAACTTTAATTACAACAAAAGTAATCTATACAACAGTTAATTTAAGAAAATTCAGTACTAGTTTTCATATCATATTAGATGATCTCCTTTATTGAAATATGCACTGGTTTATCAGCTAATGACTGAAAAGCAGTCTGTCAGCCCCTATACTGTTACCTTCTAGCCGCAAGAAATCCTGCTTAAAAAAGATTAAAAAATCTTTGCCTTCATTTAGCTCAAAGCTTACAAGGGAAAACAATACATTAAAACCAGTGTACAGATGCTGAGGATCTATGGGGTAGTTAGGAGTTAACTATCTCAAAGGAGGTTTTCGGGTACAATGGACAATATACGCAAAGTCTCTCTTCTAAATGTAAAGTGACACTTGTACAAGAAATCAAACAAAGCAAAACAAAAAGCAGTGCCAAAAGAGTATAGTGGAGATAGTGCTGGAGAGGCAGGCATGAGTCAAACTGCAGGGAAAGCTGTTGACTTTTCATTATTCATGCTTCAGTAGGGAATCTTTGAAGAACATACACAGGGAAAGGTAGCATGAACATTTATTCTTACTACTCTGTAAGAGTAAGAATGGAGGACAGGAGTCTACTTGTGAGGCCACTGCTGTATTCCAAGTGAAAGATGATGGCTTGGATTAGGGTAGAAGGAAGAGATGTGGAAAGAAGCACTGAAGATGAGGGGAGAAAAAAATGGAAAGACTGCTAAGTGATGAGCTATAACTATTGGTTGCAGATGTCTTGCAAGTGTTTGGTTAATATGCCTGGGTGAATGTTTCTGTAATTACCAAAATAAGAAACATGGAAGGAGAACTAGATTTTTTGGGGTGTGAGGTAGTGGTTACAATCTGTCTTCAAATCTCACTATCATCTCCAGCCTCCAGCCAAGATCACTCTAGCCCTGACACAAAGAAGGGTACATATAAGGCTTTTAGACTTTTACAAGATGTATGTCTTTATGCAACCTGTTCTCTGTTTCTGAGATCCTGTCATGTAGACCTCTTCTAACCCTTCAGTTCAGGTATCGTGTACTTTTGAAGACCCTTCCATCTCTTCTTGAGTTAAGTGAATACATGACTCTTCATAACTTCAATATAAATTCTTTATGTTTGGGGGATTACTGTACAACACACTGTAGTTGGTCGGCATGCATTTGCTTAAATGAACTTAATTAAATGTACTCTTTAATAAACTGAATGATTCCTGCAAACAGAATCCATGGTGCAGTTTATGTTTTTAAGACATCTGACTATGGATACAAGAGTGCCTTTCTAAACATTTCATCATTCACAACTGCAATTGCCTCTTTCCTATATTCTGATCCAAACTGGTTTTAAGGAAGAGGCCTAAATTGAATTACAGTGCCATTTAGCCTAAGAGTATACATACAAAAGCATTTACTATCGACTCATTGGCATTTTTTGCTTCATTTAAAATGATGAGGTATCATTAAAGTAGTAAGTGAAGGAAAAAATTTAATAGCCTATACACTTAAAGATGTAAAGCATTACTATTTAAAATGACTAAAATTTAAAACACCAAACAGTAAAAGGAAGACTGAAAAGCAGATGGATTCACTACTGTGAATAAGGCAGGGAGAAAGGGGTAACCAGGGAGAAAAGCCGGAAGTGTTCAGATAGACTAAAGTGGTGTTTAACCTGTACGAGTCACCACATGGGCACCAGGACTGAAACGGCATCCTCTGCAAGAATCGCCAGTACTTTTATCTGTTGAACCACCTCTCCAGCCTGAATTACTTTTTTTCCTAACACACCTATTATGCTTTACCTTAAAATTATTCACTGTTGAACTGCTGATGAACTTTTGGATGAGCTACCATCTAACTCACATCTCTAAAGCAAAATAATAACGAAGTCTCTTAGAATGAACTGGGGGGGGGAGCCTAGCATGGTGGTATACATACGTTTAATTCCATTATTTCGGAAACTGAGGTAGGACTGGGGTTTTTTTCTTTTTTGTTTTTTGAGTCAGGGTACAGACTGGTTTTATGTCAACTTGACCCAAGTTAGACTCATCAGATAGGAGGAAGGCTCTTAGGAGAAAAATGCCTCCTAAGATCCAGCTGGAGGGAATTTTCTTAATTAGTGATTGATGGATGGGGGGAACCCAGACCATTGGGGGTGGTACCATCCCCAGACTGATAACTGGGAAACTAGCATAGGATCCCTGGGCAATCTATGGGGCCTCTAGTAGTGGATCAGTATTTATCCCTAGTATAGGAATGGACTTTGGGAGCCCATTCCACAGAGAGGGATCCTCTCTCAGCCTAGATACACTGGGAGGGCCTAGGCCTTGCTCCAAATTATATGACAGACTTTGAAGATTCCCCATGGAAGGTCTCACCCTCCCTGGGAGGCAGAAAGGGGATGGGATAGGGGGAGGAGGGGAGGGAAATAGAACTGGGATTGACATGCAAAACAGGCTTGTTTCTAATTTCAATTTAAAACGGGGGTAAAAAGAAAGCAGGCTGAGCAAGCCAGGGGAAGAAAGCCAGAAGACAGCATTCCTCCATGGCCTGTGCATCAGTTTCTGCTTCCAGGCTTCTGTGCTGTTTGAGTTCCTGTCCTGACTTCCTTCAGTAATGAACAGTGATACAAAAGTGTAAGATGAATAAACACTATCCTCTCCCAACACACACACACACACACACACACACACACACACACACACACACACACACACACACACACACCGCTAGTGTTTAACAAAGTAAAACTGTTAATTTAAGCTAATTTTAATTTTGATATATACCAAAATCATTAAGTTCTTATACCATACCCTTTTAAGATAAAGATATGAAATCCATGAAAAATTAAGTAATAAAATCTCATTTCTAATATAACTTTAGAAACCTAAAACATCACAAAATTCTTGAAGTTCAATTTTTTCAGTCACAGTACAACTTAAAATTGTAAATTGAAACAAACGAATTTCTCCATGTTGAAGTGGTGTTTCATAGGGTTCTTACCTGTACAAGGAAAATGATGAGAAAATAAAAATTTGCAATTCTTCTAAACTGTTCAAACAAATTCTTTGGGAGGAAATTCCAAAGTGTATACTATAAAAGAGATTGAACCAAAAGTATTATTGGAAAAGACACTTGAAAAAAATCTTATTATCATGCAAAGTAGCATTTAGTATATCCAACAATTGAAAATATACACCATATATTACATCAGCATATATTTAGAGGAATAGAATACATTCTTTTCATAAATGAAGCACCCCTGGAAAGTTTTTTGGCCATCTAAATCCTTGCTATATGGTCTTGTATCATATTACATGAACTTTGACATAATTCATTACTATAAAAACATTAAATATTAGCTTTTTCTGAAAACACTGTAAAACCTTTGTTAACCATCAAAGAGTCATTTTATCTCCCCCATTTTCTAAAACCTTTATGCAAATGTTTTAATCTCCCAACCTGACTGGGTAAAAGTTTTGCTTTTTGAGTTGCAACTCATTTAATTAAACTTCATTTAAATGAGCCATTTACAAAGATTATGAGGTCAGACCCCAACCAATGGGGAAGACACAGTCACCACTCACTGTCCTGGTGTGCCAGCTATTCCATTTTTGTGAGTAGTTTCTTTTTTTGATTAAAAGTGAAGTTTTACTTTGTCAAGACACTTTACTTGGAATGATGGTCTCTTTTTAAGGACCTGAACTGATTTTCCTCTCAATAGGCACTGACTCCTACATAGGTAGATTGTTTAGCTGTCTTCCTTAACAGTCCTTCTAACAATTTCTGTTATAGATAAGTTATTTGGATGAATGAATGAGCATATTAGTTCTCTTGGCTTGGGCTGATCAGAGTTCAGATCATTTTCAGAGATAAAATTTTGTCTCTATCATTAACCACCTATCTTCATGACAGCTGAGAATGTATTCATAGATAGAAAGGTATACACACAATCTGAGTGCATACACAACATGTACTTTCTTATTAATGCCTTAAGCTCAACGATTGGGCCATTTAAAAATCAACAGAAGTAGGACATATTATAATACAGAAGACTAGAAACCAGAATGAAAAAAAATCCATTTAAGGTAAAAGGCTAAATTTATACTTGAAAAGTTCCTATTCCAATCATTTGCATATCTTGATATCCATTGATAAAGTGACTGGAAAGTCAAACTTTCAGAGCATGGCAGTATATGTGAATTTATGACTAAGTAGCTCTAAAGCTTTAAAAATTGGTTTTACATAATTTATGTATTTATTTTGTGGGTAGGAGGGATGTGAATGTGCTATGGTGTGCATGTGGGGTCAGATGATAATTTTGTGGCATGATCTCTCTCCTTACAAACCTTTATACAAGTCCCAGGTATCAAACTCTGGTTGCCAGACTTAAATGGAAGCTCCCTTTTACTACCTGAGACATTTTGTTGGCCCCTAGCACCTCCTTTAAAGGCTTAGGAGCTCTCAAAGTTCAGAGAATCTCAAGAGAAAGGAAAAAATGGAGGTAAATAGCTACAGTAGAACTGTGCTGGATAGTTTTTTTTTGTCAACTTGACACAAACTAGAGTACCCTGACAAGAGGGAACCACAAGTGAGAAAATGTCCCCATCAAAATGACCTTTAAGGAAGCCTATGGGTAGGGCCATTCCAGGGCAGGTGGTCCTAGTATATATAAGAATGCAAACTGAGCAAGCCAGGAGGAAAAAAAAACATACGCAGCATTCCTCCAAGGGCTTCAATTCCTGCCTCAAGATTCCTACCCTGAGTTTCTGCCCTGACTTCCCTTCATGATGTTAAACTGCACAGCGAAATAAATCCTTTCCCCTCAAAGTTGCTTTGGACATGGCGTTTAATCACAGCATTAGAAAGCAAATTAAAGTAACAATCAACAGTCAACTGAAGAATAATTCTGAGGCCCAAAAGAAGCACCTCAGAGAAGAGAGCACCTGTTCTTGCATAGGAACAGGGTTCACATCCCCAGAACCCACATAATGGCACACAACCATCTGATGTCATCCTCTGACTGTCAGAAGGCACCAAGCATTCATGTAGTGTACACACACACACACACACACACACACAGAGAGAGAGAGAGAGAGAGAGAGAGAGTGAGAGAGTGAGAGAGAGTGAGAGAGAGAGAGAGAGAGAGAGGCAAAGCACTCATAAAATAAATCTTTTTTAAAAAGGAAATGAAAATGAAGAATGCCAGGGATACCTTTAGGCCCTTTAGACACAGGCAGCCAGATCTCTATGAGACTCTGCCAACCAACCAACCAACCAACCAACCAACCAACCAACCAACCAAAAACTTAAGTGCTGACTGAGTGTGGATGTATATTATTTGAGAGAAAGAGTCCACATTTTTATGATATTCTCAAATTTTCTTGTGATAAAAATGATAAGCATTTAAAACCATTGATGCAGTAACTTTGAAAACAATATAATTCAAAACTGGCATTTAACTGCCCCATAATTTTTTTTTAATTTTTAAGTAAATAAATAAATAAAAGCTAAACTCTAATAAGCTGCTAATAGCTGAACTTCTGGAACACTGATCTTCTGTTCTCAAACTAAACATTTTTTAAAAAAATAATTAAGCATTAAGGCCACTGAAATGTCCTGATTGGGGTAATATTAACAGCTTGATCAAAGGGAGCTTTTATTGGATCTGGTCCTGTTAGGTTACTGCTGTTGTTCTGCAATGCTCAGGAGTAAAATTAGGGCTTTACATAGCTATGTCACTGAAGTACATGCATTCCTTGCCCCACTACTGTTTTGCTTAACCAGATCAACGTTTTCCTTAAGAACTTTGCTTAGTCCTTTCATTGGAAACTATTACTCTTCTCTTTTCATCAGAGTATAATCTAAGACCTCGGGGTGTTGTAACTTCCCTTACCATAAAGATCTTGGCATGGTGTTTGACAAATGTTTGTTTCAGGCAGGATCTCATACTACATATAGACCAGGCTAATCTCAAAGTCAGGGCAATCCTCCTGCTTTGGCCTACCAAGGACTATACTTGTTAAGCCACCACTGAGACTTTAAAATCAAGAGTAAAATTTGTGCACTGGACATTTAAATCACTGATTAAATCAAAAGGCAAATTAAGAGCCAGGTGGTGGTGGTGGCGGTGCACGCCTTTAATCAGGAGGCAAAGGTAGGAGAATCTCTGAGTTCAAGGCCAGCCTGGTCTACAGAGAGTTCCAGTCTAGTCAGGGCTACACAGAGAAACCCTATCACAAAAAAAGGCAAATTAAGATAAAATCTATATACTAAAACCAGTATTTTAGCACAGATTAAGATAATTCTTTTTAAAAAGTTTTCTAATTATAAGCAAAATGGAACTACAGACACATATATGAAGTTACCAAAATTTAATTGTTTATCTAAAAACTGGAGTCAGACTTGGTCTGCTGTTTGTTACAAACTAAAAACAATGCCAATCACAGGATAAATGTGTAAATAGTAGCTTTTTTAAATACAGTGATGAAAATAGACTTTTCTGTCCTAAGTTCTTGCCTGGAAGACTGAGTAAAGGTTAGTTTTAGTGCATCAGTCCTCTCAATTTTAATAAATTCCACTATAGATGACTCTGGTTTTTGTCATTTATTTGTTTGTTCACTGTATGTGTCTGTAACAGATGGGAGTCAGTACTCTTCTGATTCCATATAGGTCCCAAGGACTGAACACAGGTCATCAGGTTTGCTGAGCCACATCACAGGCCTTAATTTGATTTTTTTTAAATAAGGAAAAATGATAGTGTAAATTTAGACCTAAAACTCTGATCCAAGTTTAACTTTCTAAATGAACTATATATAGCTTACTGCTTATTTCACTAAAGGCACAATGAAGCTCAGAATTTGTAAAACAAACAAACAAACAAACCAAAAACCAACCAAAAAAAAACCCCAAAACTGAAGTTAAAAACAAAACAAAAAACCCTAAAGAACTTAAGAGCAATAGCAGTGTAATTAATGCTTCTTTTGTTAAGGAAGGGAATTTCCAATTTTGTACTAGCTACAAAATTCTGGTGATAACCAAAAATCTCCACAGAGTACTTTAAATTAGTATCGCCTCAAGGGACATTTTTTCCTAAGGAAGCATTTGTGTTCAGGGAAGAAAAGGAGACACTGATTTCATAAGTAAATAAAATTTAAAGGTCAAAGTGTTTTCTTCAGAGCTCCATGTAACAACACCCATTCCCTGTTCCTCTGACTTTACAGGGTTATTTTATGAGAAAGGAAGCTAACCCTTGCTACAGAGATAGAAGACAGCTAGCTCAGTCTGTAAACTATACACTCCGTGAATTAAAACAACATGGTACAAATAGATGGAACCAAAAGGTACTGTTAGGAAGATAATGAGGGCCAATTATAAAACGGTTGGTTTCTCCAGAATAGATCCAAAGTCTCTCTACTAACAAGGACCCTCTCTGTACATTCAAATCATAAGAGTCTAAGAATATCAACAGTAATGCATTGTAATAATCCCAGAAACACAAATAACAAGAACAGATAACATTTACTAGGTGTTAACACATTCCAAACACACTGGTAGATGCTTTATGTGTATCATTTTATTTCATCCTCATTACAATCTCATGAAATTAACAATTCAATATGCTAAGGTGCGATTTAAATAATGTTAATTTCCTATTCGAGTTTTCTAGCCTGGCGTTGGTGGCGCACACCTTTAATCCCAGCACTTGGGAGGTAGAGGCAGGTGATCTCTGTGAACATGAGGCCAGTCTAGGTCTCTAGGTCTACATAGTGAGTTCCAGGATGAGCCAGGGTTACACAGTAAAACAAAGGAAAAAAAAAACAACAAAAACCTGTAAGTCTTCTGTCCGCAGGGATGAAACTTTCATCAACAAAAAAATTGTGCACTGTCATTATCATTCATTATACTAAGGTTATCGTATTGGATTCTTTTCAACGCTGACAAAAATATGTAAGAGCATTCTATTTAATACATAAGATTGAGAACTAAAGTGAAACAAAACAATTATCACTAATTTAATGAAAAGTCACCATCGGCATGTTACTTTATCATCTTCCATATAAGATGTTATAAAAAATCATAATTCTTTCCTTTTGATGTTGAAAGAGAAAACATGGGGAAGGTTATGCAAATAGCATAACGTAAAAAGGGCTCTTTCTTCAGAGTTACTGGCACTTATACAACAGCTGTTTCTGGATTTATCACTAAGTGCTTGCTTATCATGATGGGACCTTTCTCTGGGTTTAGTTTCTCTACCTAAGTAAACAAGATGAACCTCATAGGACCTTTTACCTCCATGAATCTATGATTATGAGCCAAAGGTCTATAACTGAATGATTAGTTGGGTAACACAGAGTAAGTCAAAATCTTTAGAGAATGTATCATTCCCTATCCCATATACAAGTACATAAGTTCCTGACTGAAGATAAAATTTCTGTGACAGGGCTTATGAGTAAAAGAAAATCAATATTTTATCTGATATATCAGTGTTCCACATATATGCTCAGTGGGCTACTAGCTTTCACATTTATATTTTACATATTAATCTTTTTGTTTGTTTGTTTTTTGGTAGAGACAGGCCTCACACCATATAATCGTGGCTGTCCTGGAACTCACAGAGATCTACCTTCTTCTGCCTGTATTTTCGTATTAATCTTTAAAGTAAAAACAATCTCCATTATGTCGTTACCTAAAGGAGAAACCAAAGGAATATTTGAATGCCAAAATGTGGTGTATTATTAAAGGAAGGACATGACTTTGTGTTTCAGGTCCTGACTGACTGCAAGTGTACACTGAATTAAATGTCAATAATGTTTTAGCTCTCCCTTGCCAGGCTGCATTTGGAAGTCAAGAATATTATCAAAATATGTTCCATGCTACAAGAGATTGATAGTAAGCCAGCCATCCACTACCTACCACCTTGCCTGCTCTGTCAGCAATAAAGATCAGTAAATTAATATTAGCAGAGTGATGACTACTGGGTACTAAGAGATGTAAGAAGTGTTTTCATCAATTGTAGTGATTAATTTGACAAAGGTGACATAGCTAATGAATAGTTTATCAAGACTTAAATGCAGGCATTCAAACTTGCAGGTCACTGCTCTTAGCTTATATCACTCTGAAGCAAGACAATTATTCAAAAAGTGATGTGATTAACTTTATAGGTCATAGGTCAAACAGTATACAGGCAATATGGACCCTTTTAGGAACCAGAAATACAAGTCAGAAGATAGGAGAGAGAAGAAATGCAAATAAAAGTCACTAATCACCCTCCAAAAGAATGTAAATCATATATACCCTAATCCTTTCAAAGGCAATTTAAAAACCTTTATACAAGTAAATAATTACTAAGCCCCCACAAACCTGCAAAATGTTGACAAATGTTCGACCACTGATAAACATTCCTCCTCAGGTCAATAATGATTACTTGTAGAACATTTTAAGATCTAAAGTAATATGCACAACCAACAGGCACTATGAATCATAATGGAAGGCAAGTGAAAGTTATAAGCAGACAAAATGATGGGCTTTTAAAAAATAAACTCCCTTTCAGAGAAATAATTACTACAGTTAGTATTATGATTTCTATAAGTATATGCCCATGTTTGTATGCTTTCTTAGAAGCATAAATAAAAATATGCAACTTTATATGAGCATCCTGTGAGTTTGAACAAAGAAAAGAAACATAACTTACCTTAGATGAGACTATTCTATTATCACAAAATCTTTGTGCAATATAAGCTTCTGTTCCTGAAATGGGATGATTGCCAACAAATACTGTGCGTGTACCAACTCGTTTCTCTTCTCCAGCACACTAACCAAGAGGAAGAAGGAGAAGGTCAGCGTTCACCATATTTCTCCATGTTTTTACCATGCTTAGAATTCTGGGGAGTCAGAGTATCAAGAAAAGGTGAAAAACCTTGTCAAGAAATTTAAATTTAAATCACTTAGTTGTTGACTTAGCAAAACTGTTGTTTGAACAAGCTGGTCTAAAGCCAACAGTACAATTCTAAAATAATTAAAGAAAGCATCTAAAGGCATCTAGAGAAATTCGCCTCAAAATATGGCATCCTGACATGCTGCCAATTTAATAATAAAGGGTCTTGGAAAGAAGCAGACGTGTTTACGCTAATACTTGCTGGACACTTCAAAGAAGAAAGTAATTACATTTAATCTTCTCCATGAATTTTTTAAACTAAACTTATATCTTCAGAAAGGAAGATTGAATAATGAACAATACCTGGACAGATTTTGATAGAAACTTCGTCTATCTCTTATGCAGGCCCATTCAATTCCCAAAATGATAATTTACTAATCACTGTGTAAGTCCTAGACCCATCCACCCACTTACAACTCATTTTTTACTCCTCAAATTGTCACATTCTTCACCTTCTCATCCCCTATAGAGCATGGTTAATAATAGGTTGAGGGGTAGTTCACACTTCTCTATAAATATGTAGGACTACCACAAGTTTGAGGCCAGCTTGGTCTCATAAACAAACAAAACAAAGTAAAATACCTCAGAACAAAAACAACTGCATAAATAAAAGTTTATACATATCTGGATCTCATTTAATTAGCTGAGTAAGTAACTGCTATTCTTTGGTTCTCCTAAAATACATGGTAAAATTAATCACTCTACTGTCAACTTATGCTAGTGAAATCTGGGAGGGCATCTTAAAGAAACAACACTGTGTTTTTACTGCCAGCCATATTATTTCACCCACAGTCCAAACGAAGCTAAACTATTACAACAACATGGTAACTTAGAAAAAGTTAGACTGGGAATATTTTATTTATTATAGAACTTCTGAGGATCTTCTTGTCAATGAACATGTTAAAGAACAGAAAGAACAATGCAAATTATTTCTAAACATGAAGTAATTACTTACAAGTATGTAAGTCAGAAATGCTATTAATGGAATGATCACCTTTTTCTAGAAAGAGACTGATTCTTTGCCTTTATATGAAAGTTTCCTTGTGGTCTCCCAGAGTCTACTGTGTTTGTATATATTACTGTCTGCACTTTGTGAAGATATTATTTGTAAAATTTAACTTAAAAAGTAATAATCACCCTGAGTATAAGGCATCTGTTTTGCTATTTTAACTTAAGCTTATGAAATGATTAAGAAGGCACTGCCTTCAAAATTTGTATAGAGTCAACCACAAACAATTTGAAAACATTAACAGAGAAACGCAGACTTGGTGTTTATCTCAGTAATAGAGTGCTTGCCTATAACATATAAGTTCCTGGGTCTCAGGACCAATGCGACTAGCAAAGCTTTCCCTGAGTCAGGCTCAGGGAAATTATAAGCCTTCCCCCTGGATCATGTGTGGATGTTGTGGTGTGTGCAGAAAATGTCCACTGCAGCTTCCTCCCCCTGGATGTTTTCCGCCTGAGATTGCTTCCCTATAGTGACCTGCTCCCTACTAGATCAGCTAAACGGACTTCCTCAGTTAGCTATATACAACAAACTCACTTCCTCAATACAGATGTATAAAATAAATACGATGGGTTTCCTGGTGGTTGTTGTTGGTGTATTTCCACCAGATCACACAGTCTACCCAACCCCAGATTTTCTGAATGTGTATCTGTTGTTTCTTCATTCCCTACCCTGTTGCCCCAGATTGTGCACATGATATACTGACATACATGAAGACAGTATACACATACAAAGAAAATCAAAATAAAAAATTAAAGCAGAAAGTGCAATGAGGAATAGGAAAAGAAAGGAGAGAGGATCAGTAGAGCAGGATGTTTCTTGTGCTGCCAATATTGCTTCTCCCTCTACAGTATAAATCATAGTTTGCTTTTACTGCAACTTCCTAAGTCATCAAGCTGTTTCTTCCTCCTTTACCAAAGGAAGTAAAGCAAACTTATAGTTAGGAAATTTTGTTTAGCTTTGCCTTTAGAGTTTAATTATGGTCATATTTACTAAAATTTGTAAATATCAAAACACAATTAAGTACATGAAATTCTTATGTATATACAAACTTGAACATTACCTATTGGCAGCATATTTAACTGAAAAAAACTGCTATAGGTAATAATATTTTAGATCTACATAAACACATCAAAATCTGCCAGCAAAATACCTAGAAAAGGAATATGAAAACCTAGATAAGAATACCTTGTTGGAATTTTTCAGTTGAACTTTCACAATATCAATGTATTATAATGAATAGTTTAATTTCACCAGGAACAACCAATCCTAAGCATTCCCATACCATAAACATACAGGGATTTAAGACTCAAAGACTGCTTTATTTAAAGAATGTAGACTGTATAACCCAACGTTCCTAACATACACAGTAACTTAACTTCATCAATACTGTCTTTCATAACTTGGATGTTGCCTGACAAATCTCATACATAAACACATCTTTACAAGGTGACAAAGTTATCTTTTGTTCTTGCTACCCATATTTGCACACCATCTTTCATTCCAAACACTTAACAAACCTTAAAAGTCTAAATAGGAAGGTAGTTAAGGTCTAAAATCAAGAAAGAGAAGCTGGCAATCCAGCTAAACACTGATGAATATGCTCAGAAAATGGATAAATACACATGCAAAGAGAGAGCAAGAAGAAGGTTCCTGAACTAAGTTAACCTGGGTAACAAGAAACAGAATAAAATACGGATCACAAACCTCAGAGGCAGAAGTAAAAGATGGGGCCATCTGCATACTGACTTGAAATTTAACAGAAAAGCAGCTAAATTGCAGACAAAAGGCAGCAAGTCTTTTAAGAAGTTGTACCAATCCTCATGATCCTTGCAAAGTTTCCTGGAATTTGGGATGAAAGCCAACTTGGGTTTGAGGTGTTTTATGTACTTCTGTGGGAGGCGCCAAAGGAAGCATTAGAGGCCCCAAAAGAGTCAGCTAGAAGCAGCACTCTGGTGGCCAGCGCTGTTACTGTGCCACTTCATCATATCTGCCTGCTACTTTTCTCTAAAGATCATCATTTGCCTTGCCAATATCACTTCAAGCATCATTTTTTTTTCAAATATCAATATCGTGGCACACCACTGTGTTCTTTTCTCATCTTGGAAAGTTTTTTTTTCTTTTCCTAATCCCTATCTACAATAAACAAACCATGATGAAAATAACATTTCTTAGGAGAGTTTACTAAACTTAGATTAAAACACACAAACACACACTCTTGATTTTTTGAAACTCGGTCTCACTATGTAGCACTGGCTGGCCTAGAACCAGCGAGGCTTAAACCACAAAGAGATACACCTGTTTCATCTTACTGCCCAGCTTAACGTAAATTTTAGTTTTAGATCTGTGAATAGTTTTGAGACACAATCTTGGTATTTGTTATGAATCAATAGGGTTTCTTTTTCTTCAAGAAAATGACTGTAATTCTAAATTCTGAAGCTTCAAAAATTTGTACAAAAACACATGGTTTCTGTGGCAAGTTTATTTAGGACTGGAAAATTTTCATTATTTTAGAGATCTCATTATAGGTATGAGAGTTTTATATCTCAGAATCAAACAGCAATAGCTAACAAAAACAACTACCAGGTATTGGGGGGGGTACCTCCAATCAATATTATTACCTAGAAGAGATAAATTCTCACTAGAGAACTACTTTCTAAGTCATTTTGAAAAAAAAAGGTTTCACTGTAAGAAAAGTTCTAGCTAGAGCACAGGGAATAAGAGGGTTTTATTTCATATTTTATATTTCAGTGGCAGTGTCATTAATTGCAAAAGTGGTATGAAATTTCCTAGAAAGGTCTACTGGTTAACATATATACTGGGGCAAACTAGCCGGGAAAAAAGTTCAATTTGCAACATAACTAATAAAGAACACATTCCAGCTATTATCAACCTATTTTTTAATATCCCCAAAAGTTAGGTGCAATGCTCCTGACTAAGTAGTTCAATGGTAGAGTACTTTCCTAGCATGTATAAGGAAGGCCTGGGTTCATTCTCCACCACTGCAAATACATTTTTGAAAAGAAAAGAAGGAAAAGAATAGATTTTCATTCTGGCACACGGCTTAAGTTGAGATGGCTCTGAATTCTAACTCACAAAAGATAGCCAGTGACAGCCAACTTCTTTTTTTAAATTTATTTTTCAGCTTAAATTTAGATAAGAAACAAGGTTGCTTCACAAGTCAGTTCCAGGTCCCTCTCCCTTTTCCTCTCCTCCCCCCAACCCCCCATTATCCCCTCATTTCCCCAGGGAGGGTGAGGACCTCCATGGGAGTGTCCATAGTGACAGCCAACTTCTTTCTTGAAAAATGAATCTTTCTTTATGTAAAGGATTTGGGAACAAGATACAGAGTGAACAGAACCAAAAAAATTATGCTCTTGGGAAACATTTACATGTGTATTTTTTTTCAGAATTGAAACCTGAGGAAAACAGTTTTCTGTTTTTGTTACTCTAAAAAAGGTAACACAAACTAAAGGCTACCTATAGTAGGATAACTCAATAGCCAGAGATCACCTTTCATGACTCATGTAAACAAAGGATGAGGTTTTGCAGATGTTAAGTAACTAAAGCAATATAAAACTTGAAAACTGGGCCAGCACAGATTTATCTTGGGCAAATAACCACTCTAAGGCTTAGTATTAATTAAAATTATTTGACCAATGGCTCTCACAATTTATTATTATATATCTTACCATGAGGCTCATTGCTTGTTATCTCACATCTTGTTTCCCTGTCTGTGTGGCTCTCCCACCTAGCTATATTCTGCATGGCCATTCGTCAAATCAGCTTTATTTATATCAACCAATAAAAGCAACACATATTCAGAGCATACTGAAGGACATCCCACATTAGGGCAATGCCTCTGTGAGGGCCACTCATGTAGCCCTTGAAGGCTGTTGTCCAAAACACACACTGTTACTCTTTTAGAACTGTTGATCTGATACCTTGGTAGTAAATTTGGTAATTACTCTCTCCCTTTATGGTAGAGTACACAATCACTTGAGTACTATTCCAGAATTAAGGCCATGTCTCTACATTCCCTTACCTTCTCCAAAGCTTAGGTTTTGAAGTTGCTGTGCACCACAGGGACTAAATGTTCAACCCCACCCCCTACCTAGCCATTCTTGTTTGTGAGACAATGTCTTACTATGCAGTCCTGGATAGCCTGAACTCACTATGTAGACCAACCAGACTGACCTCTAACTTACAGAGCTCTACCTGTCTCCGCCCTCTACATGATGCTGAGACTAAAGGTGTATACCTGACCTAATTATTTTTTAATGTATTTTTATTTTGTGTCTGAGCATTTCCCTGCAGCTATGTATATGTATCAAACATGTACCTGGTGTTTACAAAGGCCAGAAAGGGGCAAAGAATCAATAGTAACAGGAAGTACAGACAGCTGTGAGCCACCATGTAGGTGCTGATAACCAAATCTCGTCCTCTGCTAGAGCAGAAAACATTCTTAACTGCTGAGCCATCTCTCCAGTCCTAGAGACTAATTTTTTTCTAAAAATCTAAAAAAGATTACTTTTATGTTTATTGGTGCTCTGCCTGCATGTATATCCATGCACCATACAAGTGCACTGCAGCAGAGGTCACCAGATCCCCTGGGAGTGGAGTCACAGATGATTGTGAGCTGCAGTGTGGATGTTGGGAATTGAACACATGTCTTCTGGAAGAGCAGCCAATGTTCTTAACTGCTAAGCCATCCCTCCAGCCCCAAGACTAATTATTCTTACAAGATGCTTAGGAGAGTTTACAGACATCAGCAAAAGTTTTGAAGTAAAAAAGACAATTTGTAGTATACTGAGACATAGAAAAAACACATTAAATAAATAATAAATAATAATCTGTAAATTTTAAAGCACCGGCTTGCTTTGTTAGATCTCAACGTCTTTGAGGACTTCCAATTAGGAATCCACAATAAATATAAATTGTCAATAATAACAGAATGCAGTATTCAATTTTTCCCAAAATGCATTACATGGAACAAGCTAACAATAACGCTCCTTACAGAAGGAGCAAACCCAATCCATAACCCCTTTTCCTGGCTCCACAATGCATATTTACATAGTAAACATTTTTAAAACTTAAAAACTTCCTTGGAAAGAAACACTTTTACTTTGGGTAAATTAGCCTTTCCCACAATTATTTAACTCAAGACTTTCTCCCTAAAGAAGACCCCATAGCATCACATTTAATATATGGTTTGGGAAGTGCTACTCCAGTTTTTACTGAATCAAACATTTAGGCTATAGCTATGCTAGATTCTAGTGGCAGGAAAAACACATGGCATTCCCGATTAGTCATACTCGCAAAGCATTCAAAGATATGAGGTAAAATAAATGGCAAAAAATATGACGTTTCTATCTTTATCAGCACTTACGCTCTAGCCAACTGAGCTAACCGGCCAGCGGTAGCAGAGGTAGATAAGTAAAATAAAATATTTGGTCATAAGTCCAAGTGGAGGTTTTTGCTTCTAAAGTTCAATTATGAGAGACATGGCACCAGAAGATCTTGATCCTAATTACTTTCTGATACCAATTGGTCTGTGTGTGTCTTGAGAAAGCCCTGGTACCAGAGTATAACTGGCATCGGGCTTGACTAGATGATCTTATCTAAGAATAACATTTGTAGACATACCTAGAACTAAAATCTTGCAATGCAGCTTTAGTTGTACAATTTGTCCTCCCAATTCAGCCAAAACTTCTAAAATATTTCAAGGGCAAGGAGGAGATTAAATGTTTGAAAATAAAGAATAGTTTTCAAAAACACGAGTAAAGGGTAATATACTGGGATGAAATTTATTTGTAGACTTCTAGGCAAAAAGGAGAGAGAAATACATAAAACATTCTGAAAGGCATACTGACCAGAAAAAGACTCATGTGTTAATGTCTTCTAAAACTATGTAAGCACAAAGGGACTCCATTAAGCTCCTTCAGGATATTCATCTTGTATACTAAAAGGTACAATGATTCTTTTAGGTTTTAAAGACATCAATTTAAATCATTTTACTTAATGTTAATCATTACATTTGAAAAAAACCCCTCCTAAAATGTGCCTATTATTGTAGAGAAATGATTTAGCCCTCTAGGAAACAACAACATCCATGTCCTCACACACAAAGGTATAAGCAATTTTAAGTTAAAACGAGCTAATTGACATAAGGGCAATTTAAAAAAAATAAACAACTCAGAATTATGAATTTTAATTGTATACAGGATTGTTATAAAAATAAGGAAAATATGTCTACAGACATACATACCTACTTGAAAGTTTTTTTTTAAACCAGAGGACATAGTAAAAAAAAAAAAAGCATGGCTTCTGAAAAAAATACTACTCATACTAAAAGCCAAACTGCCCCCAAGTCAATTTCCCCAAAGGAAAAAATTTAGCAAGACAAATAGCAGTTTGTGGTTATGTTTAAGTATATGATGGAAAAACAGCAGTGAGTTGTTTCTAAAGTACATGCAAGGGTATCTAGAACAAGTATAAGAACCCAAAGTCAAATTAAAAATACCTGGAAAGCTTTGAACATGAAAAATGCTTTCAGTCAAATCACAATATAGCATACTAGTTTAGGTTTCTTCAGTAAGTGGAATGAAAGTATATTTGTTACATCCAGTTCTCAACAATTAATTTTCATAGTTTCAATTCCCCTAATTGCAATACATTTCATTACACTTCTCATAAGTATAAGAACATGTACTGCATGCCCATTCTTACCATACTTTGTAAATGTAAATGTAATTTAAAAGCTTCTAGACATTAACACAATAATTTCAAAAATAAGAAAGAATGGCAGAATGCAATGGAATTCAGGCAGTTCTCAAAAGCAGGAGATGTACATGGACATGCACACTTGCTTAAACATCACTAATTGTCCCATCTGACTGTAAGACACATGACTTCAGATGGGATGCAGTCTGAAAATGATGACACACAGACTCCATTTACTTTAATAGTATTAAGATGTCCTACTGATGCTCCACCTTGGCTTCCAGTAACTTACTACAGTTTGTGCCTTAGGCAAAGACAAATAGTTACTA